AGAGTGTCGTGACACGCGCCGCGAGTGTGAAAGTGAGAAATTGTGTGGCGAACGCTCGTCGGCGTGTAACATTTTGGACGAGCCCTCAAATTTTCTAATAGCCTACGTCCTCGCGACACGAGGACAGCACGGGCGTAACAATATTATCACATGCCTCAGTGGTCAAATTGGTACGACGCCTTCACGGAATGAAGGAGGTTCCAGGTTCAAACCCTGGCTGAGATAATATTTTTCGCAATAATTTCTTTACAGTTATTTAGATGCTTAGCATCAAAATTAAATCGATATGATTTAATTAGGGGGGGAGGAGATTTTACTCCTATTACAACTGTGTTGCAAGTCTGACAATTAGTCAGCGCGCAGTTATTATGGTTGGAAAATATCTATTAAAATTAAAAATTTTATGTATATTTCCAAATTGATTAAATTTTGCATGCGTTTATTTCTCATACAATTTGCACATATATATATGTAGATACCTATACATATAACTATAAACTCAGACAACATGCATGTATGAAAAACGTAATAAAGACGGTTTTTAGACGTGGGTGCTAGTGTAGGAATTAAATATATAAAAAATATATTTTAAATATGCTATATTTTCAACATCTTTATAATTGAATATAAGTAACGATCACGTATGTGATATAATATAATTTTTATTTATTAAATTATTATTAATTAATTTCTGTAAGAATCAGTAAATTTGAAACTGAGGATAAATATTGTTTTGCATATTGCTAAATTTGGAAACGTAAAGATATTTTTTACAAAAATATTATATTTATAACAATGATTTTTATAAGAAAATTAACTGTCGAGTATGAATCTTATTTGAATAAATTTATAATACAATTTTTTGCTTTTACTATTACATATATACAATCTGCTTGAAAACATATTGGTTATATACGATTATGTTTTGGGATTAAGATACGTATCTTTGTACAACATCAAAATGTTTAGTTTACCATTATTTTGCAGGATGTGCGCGTATTTCTCGACGAAGCAAAGAATGGAGCTATTGTAATATCGTTAGGAACAAATGTGAAATGGAAAGATGTCGGCCTAGACAAGATTAAAATTGTTATACTGGCTTTGTCGAAACTGAAGCAACGAGTGCTGTGGAAGCTAGATATTGATGTGCCATTTGAGATACCGAATAACGTAATGGTTGTGAAATGGATGCCGCAAAGCGAAGTTTTATGTACGTTTCTCAATTTCTAGGAGAATACGCACGGAAAAAAGTAGATAAATTTAGTCGTGAAATATGGATATTATGACTAACATTTTTGCAGCAAGAGCTATAATATATTTAGCAATAGTAGTAAAACCTTTTGTTTTTGCTGCAAAAATATAGCTTTTGCTGCAAAAAATGTTAGTTATCCATATTTTACGACTAGATTTAGCAATAGTAGCTACTCTTTTTTTTCGTGCAAGAAACATAAGATACATATTTTTTATTTTCTAGTAATATTTGTTTAATTAGCCATTGCCTTTCGTACATTCTCTTATCAACGTGAAAAATTCTTATAATTAAGTTTAAGATTTCTCTATTAACCATTAGAATATCTATAATTTTGAGTTTTAGATATTATTGTAATATACCATTCTCAAAATAGCATTGAGCAAAATGAAATGTATAATTGTGAGTATTACTTACTTTTACGTAATACATATTCAAATTGTTACATCAACCATCCGTGTTTTGGTAAAATATCGGTAGACATGAAAACATCGCATATATGTACAAATATTTTGTGGATAGAATGGTTATTGACTATATATATATCTATATATATAAAGGAAGATGTCCTGACTGACTGACTGATTGACTCATCAACGCCCAGCCTAAACCCCTGAACCGAATTTTTACCAAAAGTATATGAAATAGGGATAGAATTTTCCGGGGAGTGCCACTATGTGTATAGTTTTTTGTTACCAATTTTCTGGAAACCGGTTTTTAAATTTTTTTAATTTTTCGGGAAATAATTGACCGAATCTCAAAGAATTATAGATAAAACAGGGGTAGAATTTTCCGGGGAGTGCTATAAAGTGTATAATTTTTCGTTACCGATCTTTTTGGAAGCCGGTACCGAAATTCTTTCAATTTTTCGAGATATAATTGACTGAATCTTAAAGAATTGTATATGAAGTAGGGGTAGAATATATTTTACGGCAAGCGCCATAATGTGTACAATTTTTGTCACCAATTTTTTTGGAAACCGGTTTTTTTAATTTTTCCAATTTTTCGGGAAATAATTGATTAAATCTCAAAGAATTATACATGAAGTAAGGGTAGAATTTCCCGGGGAGTGCTATAAAGTGTACTATTTTTTATTACCGATATTTTTGAAAACCGGTTCCGAATGACCGAATCTCAAAGAATTGTACATAAAGTAGGGGTTGAATTTTCCGGGGAGTGCTATCAAGTATATAATTTTTTGTTACCGATCTTTTTGGAAACTGGTATCAGAAGTTTGACAAATTTTTCGGGAAATAATTGATCAAATTTTAAAGAATTGTATTTAAAACAGGGATAGAATTTCCCGGAAAGTGCTATGAACTGTATAGTTTTTGTTACCGATCTTTTTGGGAACCGGTATCTTTTTGGAAATCGGTTACGAAATTTTTCCAGAGGGAGAAAGAGAGGGAGAGAAAGTGAGAGAGAGAGAAAAATTTTTTTACAGAGGAAGACAGAGAGGGAAAGAGAGAGAGAGAGAGAGAGAGAGAGAGAGAGAGAGATAAATAGATATAATTTATTATACCCAAGCAAAGGCTAAGGGGCAAAAAGTAACATAGAATTACAATACTGAAGCAAATACAGCAATTTAACAGTTGCAAGATGAGGTGCAAGTGCTCTCAAACAATATTGAAGTTGGTTGTCACTTTAAGCAAGTAACGTACGTTCGGCACCGTACGGTATGACATTTCATAAAATTAACAAATTGATAGATATAACATTATTCACTGAAATATACAATACAACATAAAGCAACACGAATCTATGGAACAGTAGATATAAACAACTTAAAACTACCGCACTTATAGACTAACGCACTACAAAACTAACGTACTTAAAGCTAGCCGATACAGCTAACTTGTACACTCATGTACAAATACTCGACGCATGTATTACAGGATAACGGTAATATATAATAAGCAACGATATATACATAATGCTTTATACCACATTTTGCTCTCAATCTGATTCACTACAGTGCACAACATTACGGCGATTATAACTTTACTCAGACTCGAGTTCCGATGCCAGTAAGAATGACCGTAGAAGACTTTTGAAAGATATAAGAGAAGATGCAGATGTAACGCTAGGCGGAAGAGTTTGCCAAAAATAAATAGACGAGATATGGAATGAGTTTCTATATGTGACTGTTCTATGAGCAGGCAGACTAAATGTTTGAGAAGAAGTGGCATGCCGTTCGGACCTCCTGAGTGATGGGTCAGGCAAAGTAAAAAGATCACGTAAATATAATGGGGAGCGCATGTGAATGATTCTATATATCATGCAGCCGAGGAAGTAAAGCCTTCTGTTCTCAACTCGGAGCCAGCCTAGTCTCCGCCTATACGCAGTAATATGTACGTCACGCCTAAGATTGAAAATGAATCGTATACTGCAATTTACCAGCCTCTAAATCAAGTTTTAAATTGAGCTCACTGGTTAGACTATGATATATCAAACAGCAGTAATCGATATGAGGCAAGACCAAGGTGACGACGAGCTTTACTCTCAATGCAATAGAAAGACTATTTTTATTGAACTTGATTTTATATAACGCATTATGAGCTTTGCGTGAGACAAGCGAAATGTGCTTCTTCCAAGAAAGATCAGATGTGAAGATCACCCCCAAATTTCTCACCTCAGTCACGAAAGGCAAGGGCACATGTCTACAATGACAGGCGGTAGAGTGTCGAGGTTGATATTGCTGACATATGCCCTGCTCCCAAATACCATGACGTTGGATTTAGACGGATTAAGTTTGAGACCATTTGAGCGAGCGTAATCAAAGATAGCGTTAGCATCTTTGGTGATTAGTTCGATACCTTGAAGAATGCAAGCCGGTGGACATTTGTAATAAATCTGAATGTCGTCCGCAAACATCATATGATCCGAGTAGCGCAAGACACGACCTATCGTTTACGTAGAGGGAGAACAAATGAGGGCCCAACACAGAGCCCTGAGGTAAGCCACCCAGCGTAAAAAGCCAACTGGAGAGTTCGCCAGTCTCCTCTACCACAGCCTGAGACCTTCCCGTCAGATACGAGAAGAGCCATGCCAGCGCAGCATCCGAGAAGCCCAACACTTTCAGCTTCATGAGAAGTCGAAGATGCGGAACGATGTCAAAAGCCTTGCTGAAATCAAACAGCACCATGATTGTGATCAACCCTTTGTCGATACGTACCATTCTTTATGTCATCACAGACTCGCAAGAGAGCAGCCTGGGTGTTGTGACCAGGTCGGTATGCAGACTGTCTGGGATTTAAGAGATTTTGATCCTCAAGATATTGTATAATCTGCGATGCTGCAATCTTCTCAAGGATCTTCGACAGCTCAGGTAGGTTGGCTATATTGGTCTCACGTCAGACGGAGACGATGGAATGCGGACTTTAGAGAAAGGGCGAATCAGAGCACGCCTCCACTCAGACGGAAAAGAGGATGTCTCCAGTGATCTATTAAACAACTCCACGAGCCATGGGCCCATGATTGACCAAGCAACACGCAGAACGAACACTGGAATACCATCTGAGCCCGACGCATAAGAGTGAAGGGGTCCATCTGCCAAGAATTTAAGGACATCACCAGGCGTAACAGTGGAAAAATTGAACTCCGGACGCCGGGACGGTCCAACAATCCGGGCCATAGCCGAGACGAAGTCCACACGAGTGCACGGCAATTGAGCATCATATACGGAAACAAAGTATGTGTTCAGCTGGTCAGAAGTAAAGAAGTGCAGAGGAGAAACTAAAGTCGATTTGACCAGTCCGAGATGCGCTAGTTCCCTCCATAGCTTATTTGAATCGGTGATTTTTATTAAGGAGTTGAACAGGAACTCGCTTTTTGCTCGCTTAATATCCGTATTTAGCCGATTTCTAAAGAGCCTATAGGTGGCATAGGCCTGTAAATTATTGGAACGCCTCGCATTTTTATATAGTCTGTTGCCTTCACGCAGTCGGGTTACAAGATCCTCGGCGAGCCACCGCACAGGGGGCTTCCTAATCACGAATTTTCGCAACGGGGCGTGCACATCTAGTGCTTCAATCAAGGTCTCCGACAGCACCGCGCAGAGATCGTCAATTTCAGAAACTGTCAGGTCATCTCCAATAGCCCGAATGCGCGTCAGGAACGCAGTACCCCCCACGATCAATCGCAGATGGTCCAGAAACTCGTCCGCATCCATACTCCTGTAGCCCCGCCTCAAGATAGCACGCTCAGAGTCGATCCCAGACCCCAATTTGAGCGTCAGTTCAATAAGGTCATGTCCAGCTATAAATCGTTACCGATTTTTTTGGAAACCAATATTTTTTTGGAAATCGGTTACAAAATTTTTCCAGAGAGAGAAAGAGAGGGAGAGAGAGTGAGAGGGAAAGGGAAATTTTTTTAGAGAGGGAGACAGAGAGGGAAAGGGAGTGAGAGAGAGAGAGAGAGAGAGAGAGAGAGAGAGAGAGAGAGAGAGA